GTTAGATCTTCAAATGTACTCAGTTGGATTTTTTTTTTTTAACAGTACAAAGGCAAAGCTATGCCAAAAGGGACAGTTGGAGAAGTGTCTCTCCCTCCCCACACTCTGTTCTACACTCTCATCCTTTCTGTCCTGTTCCTATTCACCCCTGAAGGGGCTCAGAACAAGCCTTTCCAAAATGTGCCCCTTTGGTTGTGGACTACTTAGAACTGAAGTCAATCAAGACCTGTGGGCTCAAGAGAAAGTTTTGACCTTCCTTTAACTACCTAGAAGAATCTACATTGTAGTTCTTTCCCAGAATAAGAGTTACTTCCAGAGATAAATTTTATTTGAGTGACCCATCTGTATGGCAGGGCAAACATCTAGTTATGAAAGATCTGCTTTTCTCATTGCCCCATGAATTGCCTTCCTTCCCTTTGAAGCCTGAGTTTCCACTCCACTCCTTTGCTCAGGATGGTGATGTGGGAAACAAATGCAAAAGAAAAAATTAAATTTCCTTTCCTTATAACCTGCAGCCTATTGACAAATACTTGAGGCAGGCAGAGTACAACATTCCTCTAGGAAACTCCCAACTGTCTTAAAGTTGATGCTTTGCTAGAGGAAAAACAACCTTAGCTTGACAATAGCAAGTCTTCTTTAACATATGAAAGTCTTGGGGCACATGGGTGGCTCAGTCGTTAAGCGTCTGCCTTCGGCTCAGGTCCTGATCCCAGGGTCTTGGGATTGAGCCCCACATTGGGCTCCCTGCTCGGTGGGAACCCTGCCTCTCCCTCTCCCACTCTCCCTGCTTGTGTTCCCTCTCTCGCTGTGTCTCTCTCTGTTAAAGAAATAAATAAAATCTTAAAAAAAAAAATGAAAGTCTTTTTGGAAGTATCCCTTTTTCTTTACCTTCCCCAACTCCCAAGTATATAATCAGCCATTCCTCACAACCCAGTGCAGCAGCTCTTTCTGCCCATGGGTCCTGTTCCTGTACTTTAATAAAATCCCCTTTTTTGGACCAAAGATGTCCCAAGAATTCTTTCTTGGCTGTCAGCTCTGGACTCCAACACCACTCCAAAATGACATCAAGGGCATACATACCTCATTTTACCTTTCTGTCTTTGAACCTCTCATGTATGTGGGGTTCCCGTACATATGAAATTAAATTAGAGTTTATCCTATTAATCTGTGTCATGTCAATTTCATTCTTAGACCAGCCAGAAGAACCGTTGAAGGGTAAAGGAAAATTTTTCCTACCCAACACCCGGCTTAGGTAAACAATCTCCCTGGTTTTTGGTATTTGCAAAAGTAAGCAGGTATATGTATATTTGATTTCTTCTTTCCTATGTAAAAGGTATAAATGCTATACTCTTTTCTCTTTTTTAAAAAGATTTTATTTATTTTTGAGAGAGTGAGCAGAGGGAGGAGCAGAGGGATAGGGACAAGCAAACTCCACTCTGAGCGCAGAGTCCCACGTGGGGCTCATCTCATGACCCTGAGGTCACAACCTGAGCCGTAACCAAGAGTCAGATGCTTAACTGACTGAACCGCCCAGGGGCCCCTTGTCTTTATTTTTTGAAAAAAATTAACAATATACCCTAGAAACCACACCATGTCAGTTCACAGAGATCTTCCTCACTTTATTTCAGCTGTTCAGTCCTCCATTGTGTGGATGTACCATTCTTCATGTTTATATTTCTTATGTTTAAGTACCTCAGCAATTCCCAATATTTTGCAATTTTGAGCAATGCTGCGGGGAACAACCTTGTGCATATTTATTTTTGTATTGTTGGAGATATATCTTCAGGGTAAACTCCTAGAGAGGGGATTTTTTGGTCAAGAGGCTGTTGATTTCTGTGTTAATTTTATATCCTGCTGATGTAGGAAAGACGTTAGGTTCAAAGCCAATGGCCAATAAAGAATTCTTTAGACGTCTCTGTGCAAAAAGGTGGTTTTATTAAAGCAGGGGGACAGGACCCGTGGGCAGAAATAGCTGCACTGGGGTCATGAGGAGTGGCCCCCATTATATGCTCTCAAGTTGGGAGGGGATTAGGCACAGCATAACCCTCCCAGGTATTTTGACAACAAGGTTTCCAAGATCCTCAGGGGTCTAGCTATTTTAAGGAAAAGTCATTTATTACTGTTTAGTAAAAACTCAGTCATGAGACTCTTGAGATGTTTATCGGTGGTTCACATGCTTGGGGATGATTGCCAACATGTATCTTGTGGGGTAGAGATAAAGGAAGTTTCCAAAGTTTTTTTTTTTTTTTAAAGATTTTATTTATTTTTTAGAGAGCGAGCGAGAGAGAAACAGCATGAGAGGGGAGAGGGTCAGAGGGAGAAGCAAGCTCCCTGCTGAACTGGGAGCCCGATGTGGGACTCGATCCCAGGACCATGACCTGAGCCGAAGGCAGATGCTTAACCATCTGAGCCACCCAGGCGCCCCTCCAAAGTTATTTTTATATATTAAAGTAGACTTACAGGATCCTGGGGGTTGGGCTAAGATTGCCTTTGCCCTTAGCAAAGTATTAACATTGAGGCAGCTGAGTTCCTAAAGGAATGTTACTCTGTTTTAAGGACTTGTCAAAGGGCTGTAAGTAGTAAGGAAACTTACTTTTTCTTTTGCCTTTGTTTCCCACATCACTGCTACCTAACTCTATCAACACCATATAGCATATTCTATCATATACTATCAGCAGAGGACCTCCAAATCTACCTTCTCAAATTTAAATTCAGGCTACCCAAACTTAAAGGCTGAGCCTCATTTATCTGGATCCAAAGTGGAGTAAACTGTTGTGTCAGCTCACTCTGGGTGTACCAGTCAAAAGATTTAGAAAAGAGATAATCAGAGGCATAAAGAATTAGAAAATAATCTGTGTGCACGGGGCACCTGGGTGGCTCAGTCGTTAAGCGTCTGCCTTTGGCTCGGGTGGTGATCCCAGGGTGCTGGGATTCGAGCCCCACATCGGGCTCCCTGCTCAGTGGGAAGCCTGTTTCTCCCTCTCTCACTCCCCCTGCTTGTGTTCCCTCGCTCGCTGTGTCTCTCTCTGTCAAATAAATAAATAAAATCTTAAAAAAAAAAAGAAAAGAATCTATGTGCAGATGATATGATAGGATATCACACCCTTCACAAACAATTACCACGGAGAGGATATAATGTAGAGAAAATCCACTTACAACAGCAACAAAGATAAAATACTGAGCAGTGCATTCAACAAGGAACGTTCAAAATCTGTATGAGCAAATATTAAAATACTGAAAGACACAAAAGTAAATTTGGACAAGTGGAGAACCGTCTCTTGCTCTTGGAGAAGAGGACTCAATGTAATACATCTGTCCATTCTTCCCAAGTAAATGTATAAATCTAATGCAATTCCAATTAAAATACCAAAACATTTTTTTCTAGATCCTAAACGGATACTAAAATTCACACGGAGGAATAAACATGTAAGAATAGCTGGGAAAACCTCAAAAAGACAAGCTGAGCATTCCAGAAATAGGTGGGGTGGGGGTGCGCAAGGTGCCGCCACCTGCTGCCCAGAGATGGTACTGCAGCCTTCTGAGCAAAGCAAATCCTGTCCTATTTGTATTAAATTAGCTTTTGAACTCTGAGTATGAAGTCTAAAAGACAGCTTACTTTTTTTTTTTTTTGCCTTCCACAGCCTCCATCTCCTTTATCGGGGACCTTCATTCGGTTTAGGATCTTTAGAGTTCTTCTGGGCTTCAGATTCCAAATCCCGTAGCTAGAGCTCAAGGGGGTAAGATGAGCTGAAAAGCCTTTGGCTTGGTCCAGATTCTCAACGTGAGGTTTGAGGAAATGCAGGCTGGCAGGAGGATAGAGAACGAAAGGGGAGGAAACTGGGTCCTTGTTGCGTCAGGCTTTTTACAGACAGTAATTTTTAAAATCCTTGCGGAATGGGTACCCTAAAAGTCCTGCTACAGATTATAAAACAGTGGCCTCAGGACATGATAGAAGATGTTTTTTCAAGGATGAAATGATGACTTTCATACAAATATAAAATCAACGCATGTCAAGGATTTTATTTGGTGTATTAATTAATGAAGGAACCAGTAAGATGTAAAAACTGGTTTAAAGGAGAACCCTGAGTACAGACACACATCGGAAACGCTAACATGAATTTGCTTGTATGTACAAAACAGGTCGCTGCCCCCAGGGGAATCGTCACTGGCATCTTCACTGTACAAGATTTATTTGCATCTCCATGGGCAAGAATTATTTTTAGTACTATCAGTTTTTTGTTTTTTTTGTTTTTTTTAAGATTTTATTTATTTATTTGAGACAGAGAGAATGAGAGAGAGAGAGCACATGAGAGGGGGGAGGGTCAGAGGGAGAAGCAGGCTCCCTGCCGAGCAGGGAGCCCGATGCGGGACTCGATCCAGGGACTCCAGGATCATGACCTGAGCCGAAAGCAGTCGCTTAACCAACTGAGCCACCCAGGCGCCCTAGTACTATCAGTTTTCTGCAACCCAGAGAGTTGTCAAAGAGCTCAAAGACAAGGACAGGTGCAGATCCTTCTAGAATCAGATAAGCCCCGAAGGAAGGTTCCTCTAGACAATCTCTATGAAATTAAGTAAGGCCTTCAAGATTTCACAGCTGCTAAGTACAGATTTGCAATTCGAAACCAAATCTACATGTCTCCATAGGTTCAGACTTTTCTCCGCCAGGGTCAGGCCGCTATTGGACAGTGAAGGGTGATATTCAGCTGAGATTTGCGGTATTGACTGGTCATCACCCCGTTTAGTTCAAATTCCTTGGTCTCAAGACTGGAGTCTTCCCTCCTTTGAACAGAGCCCGAAGCAACATTCCAAGGTCTCCAAAGCCTCAGTCAGTCATCTGGCATCTTGAAAGTGTCTCCCCCTCGATGCCAGTGTTCCCTAGGGAGTCTGCAGGGGCCGGGAGCCTGGCCTGAGCCCTGGGAAAATGGTGGTAGAATCTCAAGACTCCCACCGTGCCCCGTGCCTTGGAACGGATGAAGAGACTGCTGCGGCCCAGGCTCCAGTCACGTCTTTGGTTTGGAAATTATGGGACGCTGATACAGCTGGATTATACCTTCATCATGCAGCCGCTTCCAGAGTGTTCTCTCTAACGGGAAGTCATGGTTGATGTAAAAGATGGTTCGTTTCCAGGACTTATCATAGTAGTGATCAGAAAAGTGCTCGTGGCCCTCGGTGATGAAGCCGTAGGCGCTCACCTATGTGAAGGTTGGAGGAGAAATGAGGCCTGAAGTTGCTCCCTCCCAGGCTTGTTCTCATGGGCTGTGTGTTACTGGGGGACCCTTCATCGTGGTTCCCTCCCTAGGGGTCCGGGCGCAGGCTCCCTGATGGACACTGGCCTATGTGTGTACGTGCACTCACACCCCTCTCCCGCCCCGGCCGTCGTCCCCTGCTGGGCAGGTCCCGGGATAGGGCTTCCGCTCCTCCAGCAGAGCCTTACCTGGTCACAGAGCTGAAGGGCCGTGAGCAGCAGGAGGGCCCCCGTGGTGGGACGATAGATTCTCCAGTGGCGAGAGTTCAGGGTCTTCGACCTCAGAAACCTGGGAAATAGCCCAGCCCCCAGCGGTCAGGAGGCTGCAGGGATGAGAGGGATCCAATGCCTGCCCCCCGCGCCCTGCCATTCTGCTCTCACCTGTTCTTCATGTAACGGATTACGTCTGGATGCAGCAACAGGTACCTGTCCAGGTGCAAGCTTTCCTGGAAAGCCTCCTGGGGCCTGCGCCTGTGGGCGGCAATGGGTCGTTCACCTCCCCCGATGCGGGCCAAGTCTGGCCAGGGCCACGACAGGGGGCCCATCTCCAGGCGATCGCCAAGGCTGTCCCCACCTGTCCAGCCCTTCACAGCCGCTCAATACGCAGCTCGGCCTGGGGTGGGGTAGGGGGCAGTGAGTACCTGAACCAGGAAAGGCTACTTTTCACCAGGGTCTGATTCAGAAGCAGCGCTTCCAGCCACTCATAGTCTCGGGTGCCCTCCAGGAAGTGCAGGTAGCGGACATCCTGAGGACCAAGGACAGTGAGCGCTCCAGGAGTCCTGCCTTCAGGCCCCGGGGCTGGGGGGTTGGGGGGGGTGGTTGGCTCCGACGCCAGGCTGCCCACTTGCTCCTCGCAGTCCTGTCTGGCAGTCCTCCCTGCTCTTGCCCCTCGGATGAACAGAGCCCGCGCCAGCCAGACTCCAGACACAGGACACCAGGCTCCCTTTCTCAGCTCGTGCTCCCCATTCAGATTCTGTGGGTGGCCAGGCCGGTTCCTCTGTGCTCACCTTCCCCAGAGGCACGTGCGGGAAACCCCGACCGCCCAAGGCAAGCAGAGACTGCGTTATGGAGAAGGCAGTGAAGCCGTAGAAGGACGTCCGGGTACCCACATCCTGTTCGTAGCCCTTAGTGATGGCTCCGCTCAGTCTAGGCGGCAAGACAGAACCACACAGGACAGGACCCATGAGTGCCCGAGGGAAAGGCATGACGGCGGGTGGGGAAGGAAAAGAGAGATGGGGAGGCAGCAGGTATAATGGGACATTCTCTGGAGAGCCCGGGCATTCGGCCTCGGGGATCCAGGCATAGAACGCCCTACCAGATCTCTCAGTCTGGATGGGGCGCTTGGGGCGGGACGCTTACCGGAACACGTGATCGTGGCTGTCAATCTCCTGGCCCATGTGGGAGTTGTTCAGGATGCCCCCGTTACCCACCACGGCACAGGTGATGCACTGGGAACTCCCAGCAGGGAGGCTAGCCAGGAGCAGCTGCTGCTGGGGCACCGGAGGGAAGCGAGTCACCACCTTCTGCACCACTGGAACAAGGGGGGCTCCGCTCAGAGCACTGGAAGCGTCAGGGAGGGCCAGCCCATCCTCTTTCCCCGCGCTGGGGGCCCCCAGGGAAGAGGCAGACCAGAGCCAGAGGCTCAGCTGCCCAGGCTCCTCCCCAGGAAGACTCACAGGAGTAGTTGAGCTCCATGAAGCCGAAGGGCGGTGCGAAGTGCTCCAGGCGCTCCCACTCTCTCTGGTTGAAGCGGCTGGAGTCCAGGAAGAGGGTGAGGTTGGCCAGAAAGAGTTTCTGGAACCAGGGTGACTTGGAGGCCTTGACCTTCACTGAGTCGGGGCAGGTCTACATGCAGGAGGGTGGGTCAGTCAGGAAGAGGCCCAGGAAGGCCATGGCCAGGCCGGGCTCGGGGCAGGGGCAGAAAGTGGGCCTCAACGTTTGGAAGGCACCACCTCTGCTGCCTCTTCCATCCTGTTCGGAGGGCCTGCTGATCCTCCCTCGCCATTGCCCTGGCTGCTGTAGCCCTGAGGGTCCCAGAGAACAGCCCCTTCTTGGGGCTCTAGGGGATGCACCCTGGCGGGCGTGAGGAGGATGGGGCTGTGGGAGAGCCTGGAGCGCTGGCCAGGGCCCAGCTGCAGGTCTGTGTAAACATATGAATTTTGAAGGTTTCCCTCCTGAGGCTGTGGGCCCAGGCAGCTTTTCTGAGGGATAGAAGAGAGGGAAGGTTGGGGAATTGTGTGTACGGGGAAGACAAGGCATTCCCAGGGGTCAGGGTCGGGCCTCAGGTTGGGGTGTCCTCGGCTGTTAGTCCTGCTTCTCTGTGTCCCCTCTCAACCCTTGCCCCCTCCCCCTGCCAGAGGATGGCCCCAGAGCAGGTAGCACTCTCTCACCCTGCTCAGGGACCTTCCAGGCCTTCTGGGGGCTCCAGGGCAGGGCTCCTTTCCCTTACCCCTTCCCACGCTATAGGGGAGAGCACGGGGGGTGGGGGTGGGCATGAACAAGGCAGAGCCTGGGGACAGAGCCTGGGAGGTCAGGGAGGTGGGAGGCAGGGACTGGGGGGGCTGGCTGCAGGGGGCTTTGGAGCAGGGAGGTAGTGGCCAGACTCACCGATCTTAGGGCTCCCGTGTCAAAGCTATATTGTTCCTCAAAATCCCACTGGGGCTCAGACTTGAAGTTGGTGGCCCGCAGACTTGGACTTCTCTGTGTGATGCGGCTCTGGAAAGGGGTGGAGGGTGGCGTGGCCTGGGCTTTCTCCCAGTGGGGGACAACCGCTGTGGTCACTCCTTTCATTGTCCTCCCCGGTGACCCTGCTCCTGGCCTGGTCAGCGCCTTGGCCTGGCTTTTCAGCCCAGGTGTCCTTGCTGTGGTCCGCACTTTGCCCTGAGGGTTTGGGGGCTCCCTCCTGGTGGCTGAGGGCTCCTTGTTCTGGTCCTGCCTTCCTTTGATGGTCCTGGCATCCTGACTCCTCAGCGACAGTGTCTCTGCCCCGTCAGAGGCCACCCTCCCATCCCGTGCCCTCAGGGGCAGCGTGTTCAGCACGGTGTCCTTCCTCTCCTGACCCCTCGGTGGGGCCGGCCCAGCTGAGGCGGCCACGCTGGCCTCTGCTCTGGTGTCGCTGTGGGTGGGGCAGGCCGTGGCCTGGGCCGGGGGTGCCTGTGTGCTGCTCTCCTGCGCTGACGCCCCCCCCGGGGCCCTTGTCCTTCCTCCCGCGGTGGCGGCCTGCCATGCAGCCTTGTGGAGTGACTCTGGATACCTCTTCTTGCCAAGCATGTGCTGATCCCTAGGGACAGATGTAAATCTGGATTAAGGCCGAGGATCGTATCCACAGGGTGGACGCATAATTAGTATGTTTTCTGGTGCCTTGGGTAGACTTCACACCAGTTTCCCTAAGACATGAAGGCAAGGAGTGTCACCGTCCATACCCCAAATTAAGCTGCACCTGTTGGCGATGGGTCTGGAAACTTACCTCTGGCCCATAAAGAGACCGTGGTGGGCTCGCCCTTGGGAGCGTGTGAGCTCGGTGGGCGCAAGGGAAGGGGCTCTGTCTGGGCAGGGGATGGGCCCAAACAGGTAGGCAGAACCCGATTAGTATCTGCCTCGTAGGTCAGACTGAGGAGTTTGGACTTTATCATTCATCTTCTTGTCCAGGGGGAGCTACTGAAGAATTTCAGCTGGGAGATGGGGTTGCTGGATCAAGAGGGTGGGGCACAGTAGCTGAATTCCAGCCTGGCAGTGCTTTTTTCTAGCATCAGGAGAAGATTGACGCGGGCTGCCTTGTCTGGCTTCTGGCACTCCAGGTTTTTGGCTCTGAGGATTAGATTTCCTTTCTTTTTATTTCCCCCTTTTGGGGGAGGCTGCCAAAAGTATCCCTTAATTTATGCAAATTAGCATCAGGTGTTCTGCTGAGGAAAGCGTGGGTCCTCTGCTGTGCAGGTTTCTCTAACTGGACTTCGAGGTGGGTTCTCTGTGCTACACAGGTTTTGGGGGGGCTCCTGGGAGTCTTGGGGAAAAGAATCATCCTCTCTGGGGACCCATAGCCGTCACCCTCATGGATTTCCAGGTGTCCTTAACTCCCGCTCCTTTCCCTGACATCCTAGGCCTCCCTAGCACCTTGATCACCCTTGTCCCAAGCAGTTCTCTTTTGTCTGCTTCTATCATTCTTCTTCCAAGCCATATCATCACAGACTTACTGAGGCCCCAGAGAGAGAACATGAAATGTGCAGCCAGAGAGACCCGAGTGAGAATCCTTAGCACTTCCATTTATTAGCTGGTGTGACTGGGAGAAATCTTCACCTGCCTGACCCTGGGTGTTTTTATCTATAAAACTGGCCGCTGCCTTTTGCTTCTGCAAGAAGTCTGCTGTGAGCATTAACTGACAACATGTGTTTAGCTTCTGGCACAAAATACATGCTCGGATAACAAGTTCCCGGCTCCTCAGCCCTGCCGTGGTGCTCTGTTCCCAGTGACTCTTGATTTGTCCTGCGCAATGTGGGGGTCTCCTGAGTCTGGTCTCCTCCTTCTCTGGTTGCAGCTTCGACTCCCTGCCTCCCAACTCTGTGGCCACTAATTTGTTCTTTTATGCAGCAAATATTTATTGAGCACCCCCTATGAACGCTGTGCTAGTTACTGGGGCCTGGGTGATGAGCGCAACCAGACACATTCCTCCCCCCCCACGGAGCCCAGGATATAAAGGGACAACAGATCGTCACACAGGTAGACGTCAAGTTGTAACCCGGAGACATGCTGGGGAATGGGCGAGCACGAAGAAGCCATGGGAGGTAGCCTGACCCAAGCTCCGTTTCCTGTGACAACGTGAAGGCTAGAATCCTACGTGTGGTCAAATTGGGCGTGTTTGGGGATTGTATTCGTTCAAGGGCAATGTCAAGCTCCTCCCCAAATCGCAAACTTGGAGGAGGCAGAGATCACTCTAAGCAGTCCTTACTACGAAGCCCACCACGATGCCACATCATCACATCGGTGCTTCCGAAAAGCTTTCTGAGCCCACCAGGAAATGGATTTAAACAAACTGAATAGAATAGACCCTGAAATATGTAACAGGCGGAACATCTCATTCAACAGACGTTCAGTAAATGTCTAGTGCAATGTGCTGTGTAGGACCTGTGTAGGTCACCCGCAGAGTACACTGTAGTCATTGTTATTAAAGGTGGAAGACAGAGGAGACTTTCATCACTAGAAGAATACAGGGCTGGCCCGGGTGGTGGTATGTGCACTAGGCAGATTACCTCTGTCACTCCTTCCTCATTTAGGGCCTCCCTCCTGCATCGTGGCCAGCCCTCTGGTGGATACTGTATTTCCTGCTTCCTGGGCCCCAGGGAAGCACATTTATTCAGGTCTTCCAGGAAGGGCACTCTCTGTCCTGACCTTGAAACGGACAGAGGATCTAACTTCTCTGGAGATTGTTAGGGAAAAGGCTAACAGTGGGGCCTTCCTCCTTGGAGCACACACATTTTTAACTGTCCTCACGTAGCAAATGCCTCTTTGCTCAAAGAAGTAACTTGGAGGAGAGGTATCCCAGACCAGAAAGGAGAGAAAGGCTGGACTGTGACATGAAGCAGCCTGGAAAAGCTAACAGCCTTCAAGACTTTAAGCCGTTATTCCTTTTTTTGTTTTCCATTTTTAACTAAGAAAAAAAAATGGGGGTTTGGATTTATCATAAGGCTAGAAAATGTCTTGAGGAGCCCAAGAGCAAGATGTGGTTGAGCCTCTAGAACGGTCTGGAACCTGGAGTCTCTCTCTTAGGCTGCTTTCTGCTCTCTGCTCCTCAGCCCTCATGACGGAGGAGGATGGCCGCCCCATAACACCTGCTTCAGGGACCGAAGACTCTCTGCTCCCAGTTTTTAATTTTTATGGTTCTGGCCCACTTGTGTCCTTTCCTGTCCCTGGTAACATGGCAAGTGACACGGATCCTGGGGTCCACCCTGTACACGAGAGGATAGTCTCAAAAGAGAGGGTTGTTGGCTCATGAACTGGGTAGACATCCCTCAAGTGTCCATTCTGAAAGGATACCATCCATGCAGAGTGGAAAACCTGAGTTAGTCCTGAACATAGTCTTTTTTTTCTTTTTTTAATTTATTTATTTGAGAGAGAGAGAGCGAGCTCTCAGAGAGGGGCAGAGGGAGAGGGAGAAGCAGGCTCACCGCGGAGCAGAGCGCCCGATGCAGGGCTCGATCCCAGGACCCCGGGATCATGACCTGAGCCGAAGGCAGACAATTAACCGACTGAGCCACCCAGGCACCCCCATCCAGAACATATTCTTGAGGGATTTGGGCCACCTTTGTTTTGGTGCTGTGAAGTTTGAGTACGGTGAGACTCACTCTTCTCCCCTTCAGTGGCACAACTGAGCTGAAGCTCCCAGCCCGGAGGTACAGCAAAAGCCTAGGTGTTTACTCCATTAGCAAACAGCTCTCGTTACTCAGCCGGAAACCTCGAATTCACCTCCCCCTGTATTTCCCACCCCCAAACCACAAGAAGCCTCTAGAAGTTTTCCTTCCAAAGTGCAAGCACCTTTGCATGGCTGTGATCAGGGAGATGGTGCGGCAGGGTGGTCTTCTCCACTAGACTTCTCAGACAGCTGGCCCTCGGGGACGGAGCACCCCGAGCTCCTCTCTGCAGTCCTTCCCAGAGGCAGGAGGCACAAGGTCCCTGGCGGGTTACTGAGGACTCCTTTACGTTTTACAGGGAGTCGTAGCAATGACCCAGCTACTGACAAAATTATGTAATTAAGTTTCATTTCAATTCCCTATAATTAAACACAACTATGATTGCTAGGAATGTGGGTGTTTACGTAGGCATTTCCTTATGCTCATGCATGGTATTTACTGAATGCTCAAATTCCTTCCGTCCATATGGTGAGTGCCCTGCATTCGTCTTGTCCAGACCCTGGGTAATCCTGGATTTAAACACCACGAGCAAGGCCAGGGTAGGGTGAGGGGGGAACCTGTTTTCTATTAAGGGTTCAGAGGGACAGGCAAGTCATGCAGGAGTCACATGCAAGCAAAAAACAACTCAATATCAAATCTGATCTATTTGGGAGATAAAAATAAAAAATGCTGCACTTCAAAAAATAAATTTATCATTAACAGGGTTCACATGGCTCTATGCAATAAATGAAGTGGGTACAAAAGAATAATTATCTGGCATCCTCTTCCCTCTAAATTCTGAACTACACAACACCACAGGGGACCTGGAAGCAAAGAAATGGCAAAAGGTTCAAAGTTTATTTATACTTGAAGCCATGAAAAGACTGTTGGCAAAAGAGCACTATTCTCCCTTGAATATAGCACAGCTAATCCTTGAACAGTGTGCGGGTTAGGGGCACCGACCCACACCGTCGAAAATCTGCATGTAACTCTTGACTGCCCCAGAACTTAACTACTCATAGCCTGCTGTCGACCAGAATCCTTACCAATAGCATAAACAAGTCAACACATATTTTGTATATGTATTATGTACATATTCTTACAATACAGTCAGCTAGAGAAAAGAAAATGTCATTCAGAAAATCATAAGGAAGAGAAGATACATGTACAGTACTGTACTGTAAAAAAATCCATATATAAACGGACCCATGTGGCTCAAACCATATTGTTCAGTGGTCAACAGTATCTACTAGAAATAGGATAGGGGGTGTTGAAAGTGTCTCACACGTGGAAGAGGTCATCCAAACTGAAATTTAGCAATGACACCCTGAATCAAAGGCCACTAATAAAACCAGTAGGACTAGAAGATTATTTCATCAAGGAGAAGACAAGAACTCAAAAAACCTCCTTGATGATCTTGCAATTCCACTTCGAGATATTTATCCAAAGAAAATAAAAACACTAACCTGAAAAGACATACGCGCCCCTGTGTTCACTACAGCATTATTTACAATAGCCAAGATATGGAAGCAGCCCAAGTGTCCATCGACAGATGAATGGATATATATATAATGGAATATTGCTCAGCCAGAAAAAACAATGAGGTCTTGCAGCAACATGGATGGACATAGAGGGTATTATACTAATGAAATAAGCCCGACAAAGACAAATACCATATGATTTCTCTTATATGTGGCATCTCAAAAACAAATAACAAACGAAACAAAACAGAACTATTTCTGTATCTCATAGATACAGAGAGTAGAGTGGGTTGCCACTGTGGTGGTGGGGGATGGCGGTGGTGGTGGGGGGGGGATGGGAGGTGGGTGGGGGGGTGAGAGGTGGTGGGGGATGGGAGAATTAGGTAAAAGGGATTAGGAAAGACAATCTCCCCATAATA